TTCAAAACGAGGTGGGTTGTAAATTCATCCAACGAAAAGTAAAGAGTTATATATTCCTGAGTAGATCCATACAGATTCATTTACAATGTTGAGTTGGGGGTCTACTATTAGTTAGGTACGTAACTAGTCTCGAACATAAGTTGCACATATCCATTGTCTGGGTGACATAGGAGGGTTGTTCAGAAAGAAACCGAACTTTTGTCATAGCCCCTATTGCTTATTGCGCAACATTTTTAAGCACTTTCCACCTACTGACAATACATCGTTCCCAACGGTGCTTCCATTTCTGGAAAGCTTTCCTGTAACGTACTTTCTGGGATGGCACGTAGGTCACTTGTCGCGTTGTCCTTAATCTCCTCTATGGTTTGGAAACGACTTCTTTTCAATGTGGTTTTAAGTTTGGGAAACAGGAAAATGTCTGCTGAGGCTAGGTCCGGAGAATACGGTGGATGGGGCACAACGAGAGTATGCTGTTTTGCTAGACAGCTGCGGACAAGGAGCGATGTGTGAGCCGTCACATTGTCATGATCCAACATCCAAGTCTGGTTTTCCCACAACTCAGGCCTCTTCCTGTGCACAGCAAACCTCAAACGAATATGATGGCATGCTCCTATGCTGTTGCTCACTTTGTCAGCAACTTCTCGAACAGTTAGGCGATGATTTCCGCGGGTCACAGGACGAACTCTCTCAACACGGTCATCGTCTGTTGATATGGAAGGTCTCCAGGTTTGGAATCGTCACCGACCGACATTCTGCCATGTTCAAAACGCTTACACCACTTATAGCAGTGTGTGCTACGCATACAGTCCTCTCCGTATGCTTGACTAAGCAACTGTAATGTCTGCAAAAGTTTTGCCGAGTTTGTAGTAAAATATCACACACACACACACGCACACGTTGTTCTTCAAACTCCTTCTTTGCCTCTTTGGCACTAATTCGATGAACAGCTTGTGCACGTGGTTACTTCAACGACTGTGGCTAGCCAGCTAATAGTCAGAGCGCAATGCGGCAAATGGCAGTTTGTCTAAACTAGCCTCCACATGTGCTCAGTAGTCGCAGCGCGCTATCTCAAGGGTTCGGTTTCTTTTTGAACACCCCTTGTACCTAATTTCAGTGGCGAGTAGTAACTCTGGAATTGAAAGAGTAATCGAAAAATGCAGAATGACTATTTTTTATACTAATAACGAGTGTTATTGTGAAATCTCCTGACGGTGCCATGATCGTGTGGAAAATTCACTGAATGATGAGAATACGACATTACTACTGCATGCACTGGTAGCCACGTGGGGTGGTGCTAGTGGTGTTATTGTTGCTGTCTGGATACTGAGGCCGCAGTATGACTGTCATAATTGTGCCACATTCAGAAGCTGGTTGAAGGAGAGATGCTTTTCTGGACCGGTAAGACTGGGAACGGGGCCCTAGCTGCGACTAAATTTACCATGATTGGATCATGGTCAATGATTGCCAATCTGGACATTGGATCTCCACGCAGTCTCTGGAACTTATGGATGCTCGCTGACATGTTCCAGCTGGAAGCGAATACGATGAGACTCACAAAGTTCTCAGGGCGAAACTGCATGCTAGCATGAAGAGAGACTGTGAAGCCTGGTGGTCGCATCGTACCTCGGAGATGGAGACAGACGCTGCCCTTTGTAACCATTGGTAGTTATCGCGTCTAATACGAGAAACGGGAAACAGGAAAACGTGTTAGCGAAACCATAGGCGACGAAAATGGACAGTCGATTTACAGCTTATCAAAGCGCATGGCCAATGAGCGCCCTACTCTCTGGGCCTTCTGCTTGGATCCACTCTCACACGCAGAAATCAAACGTGAGATCAAACGACTGAAATCGAACGACGCCGCTGGTGCATATGGACTTCATCCAGCCCTCTACAAATTCGGGGGATCTGCACTTTTGGGCAATTTACATAACTTACTAGTGAATCTATGGGAGCAGGAGACTGTACCAACAAATTTGAGCTGCTCCATTCTAGTCCCTATTCTTAAGGAGACTTCCGTTCTGAATGCGGTAGTCATAAAGGAATCAGTCTGATCTTCATTGCCTCTAAGTTGCTTGCCTCTGTCTCACTCCACAAACTGGCTGTCACCCGTGAAAGCCAGATACGCGAGGAGCAAGCCGGGTTTCACCGAAATCGAGGCTGCGTTGACCACATCTTCACATTACGTCAGTTATTTGATAGCCGCCATGTTTATTATCGACTCACCGCAGTCGTGTCCCTAGACATCAAAGGGGCCTTTGATTCGGTTGATCGATGTGCCCTTTGGGTATCTCCATTGAGAAAAGATGTACCTGATAAATATGTAAATGTCATAAGAGCGCTGTATGCGCATAGTTCGGGTAGAGTGATGGTTTAGGACAAAATTTCACCACCCTTCAATATATCCAGCGGTGTGAAACAAGGTTACCCGCTTTTAGCTTTCCTCTTTAACTTCGCCATTGACAAAGTCATGTAGTCGGCGTTCGCCGGACACGACTTAGGTGTGGAGCTGCTCCCAAGTGAGCGACTTCTTGACTTAGAGTATGCCGACGACATTGCACTCATCTGTGACAGCTCCCGAAGGTGGCAAGCAGACACTGGATAGATTAGCTCTAGCTGTCAGTTGTTTCGGCCTATATTTTACACCGTTGAAATGCAAAGTCCTTCTCCAGGGTCCCTTGGTGGTGATCAGCTTGAGGTCTTCCAGAAATTTACTTATCTGGGCAGTTATATTAGCGTCCGTAGGATCGAAGGTGAGATTGCGAACCTTATAGCAAAAGCTTGAGGCGCTTTCGCTAATCTCCGTCACCTATGGCGCCAGCGTGACACTCTCGCTTTGAGGGGCAAAGTTTACAAGGCAGCCGTCGGTTCAAACCCTCCTGTACAGTTGCGAAACCTCGTCCATCAGGTCGACAGACATAAAGAGGCTAGTTACGTTCGATCATCGCTGCCTCCGCAGCTTAGCTGATGTCTGGTGGGAACACCGCGTGAGCAATGCGCGTGTTCGGCGCCGCTTGTTTGGTGCAGAACGAGCTAGTGGACCGCTCAGCATCACTCTACCACGTACCAGGCTCTGATGGCTAGGCCACGTGTTGCGCATGTCAACACACCGACTCCCGCATCGTGCGTTGTTTGCGCGCCGGGGGTGTGGATGGAGGAAGAGGAGGGCAGGTCAAGCGATAACTTGATCAAAAAGAATGAAATCCCTCACTTGGAAGTTGGCGTCGGTTGGTGTCTTCCGACTGTCTGGCCGGGGACCGAAGCACGATGAACACGTTTACTTAGGTGTACTAGCTGACGTCGAAGAGTTGTGTTTGTGTTGTGAGTCTTTGTTCCTCCCCTCCCCTTTAGCTTCCCCCTCCAATAACAATCTCGAATGTGATATGTAGCATCGTGTTCCATTTTTAGCTTTTTCATATGTATTGCATAATCTCTTATATTTTTTGTATTGTAACACATTAGCTGTGGTGTGTTTCTCACCCTCGGCTAACGTGTATTGGTGGTGATTATGATGATGATGATGATTGTCAAGGACTGTAAATGCGGGCTGTTTGCAGCGCTACTTGCGGCTACAGATGCTACTGTGTTATACGTGAAACATGGAGGCTTTGCTGGATTGTTTTTGGTGAGACGGTTAGATCACTAATTGGAACGATCCGCCTCAGGGTCTGGCATTGGGAGTGCAGCTATTTAGTGTCAGATGAATCAGCAAAGCAGACGGGCAGTGGATCAGAGTGCTCCGTGCAGGATGGTTGAAAATTACATGGCCCTTATAAAGTGTGAACTTCGTTGACAATGTTAGCCATGTATATAATAACCACAGTGAGGGTGGTACGCTGCGATTTGATTTAAAGTGAACATCAACCAGTTCTTTCGGCAGTACCTTATGCCAGCTATCATTGGTGAGGGTACTTGTACATGTGCGTCTTCTGTCAATCGTTGCATTTCGTACTTAAGTCTCAGTTCGGTTGTCTTTGTCTTAAGGACACAAGCAAGCATAAATTTGATCATGGGGTGATATGTTAAGTGGTTAACACTTACCTGATCCAGCCCTGCTCGGCGGTCGTTTCTGCCATCTAAATCCACTGTTTCCCGACGGAATTTGTGTTTTACCCATGTTTCTTCTCCGCTCTTATTCCACTAGCGACGCCATTTTGCTGGTAACTTAGGTCCGTTAGCTTATCACCGTGGGTCAGAATGTACACTCTTGTCTATTCGCTCCGATTGGTTGTATTGTAGTGCGTGCGTATGTGTGTAGAACGCCCTGAGCTCATTTCAATGATCAGTTCCCTTATGACTCCTCGACTTGCTCTACTACGCCCAGAAAAGCCTTGCCGATACTACCGTAAAAAATATTTGCAACCGGAACTGGAACTCCGACTGTTTTAGTGCCACTAGTTAAGTGAACTTTGAAGCACGGACTGTGCAGTGAGCGCTCATAGGCGTTGTGTAGTGGCTGTACCTGCAGCTGGACATACTGGGTAATTCCCCCACTAATCCATTCCACTCGTTGTGTTGTGACCACTTTCTTTCAAAGCGCTGCTGGGAGTTTTGTCAACATCGACTACCCGTAACCACCATTCCAGTTTATAACACTTATGAGTATGACGTGTCCATGTTCGTTTCCACGTTTTCGATGTTGTGTTTCATTTGGTTTGTTATGAAGCTTTGTGCCCAGAGTCAATTCATTATCGCATCGACCTTCAAGTGAACTGATTAAACGTCTTCTGTATACGCTTGGCCTTAGTTTACCTCAATGATTTGCTCATTCAATGGTCTCGTCGCCTGAATTTCGAGCCGGCTGATTCTCCTGTGTTTGAATCAGGTTGTCTGATGTATTTTGTTATATTGCATTGTTCAAGTCGTTAGCTTGACCTTACGGCAATCCGCTTTTGCACGTTTCCGCGCGCGTTCCCCTATCTAGGCCATCCGTACATACATTTGAGTTCTCACCATTTTCCATCTACTGGATTTCTGCATTTCTCTCCTCACATCTTCAGGTTCCATCGTCAGTCTTGGAGGCATTGGAACAACATTTGGTAAACTTGGAAGGTCAAAAGGGATCCGACAGGTGGGCGCTTCTTACCAGTTCCATCAAATTAACTCACTTTCTTCATGCTCATTAGGTTCATTTCTGGAAACTTACTTGTCTCAAATGCGACGAGATGTACGACAGTGGGATACTGCGTCTCTTGAATGTCCATATCCCACGGCTACTGTGGCGTCGTATCGGAGTACTCACTGGAGCACTGACAAAGCGGTCTTGTCTTTTTTTCTCTTTACCTCCTTCAATCCGCAGAGCGTTCTGCTATCTTTTCTGTAGCTATGGGTAAAGCTAGGCATGGTTGCTCACCAAATTCGACTAAGCCCCGCGTATACCGTGTTCTCTGTAGATCACCATGGCTTGGTCTATATAGATGGTTTTCGCGTTTCTCTTTTCTTCAATTCTAGGAACGTTTTCACCGGTACCTATTGGAGTAGTTGGTAGCTGTCACCTTTTTGGGAATTTTATTTCTGTGGGACACTGCGAGACATGCTGACATAGTACTTCGTGGCATTCATTTGCAGTTGTCACCGCTGTTCACTTTTTTATAGGTGCTTGGCCAACTCTATATCTAAAACACTTATGTAGTCCAACCATTTTCCAAAGTTGTCCGTAATGTGTAATCTAGGGTATAATGTCGATCATCCTTCATACATTCATAATCCGGCACTGTACTTATCATTATCAACAGCAGTACATCTGCCATTTGAACCGGTGCTCCGCTGCCGTACAACTGCGGTGACCTACGTAACAAAGAAAAATCAGTGGGAGGAAAGGTGAACCTAGCGTAAAACCTTAATGCCTAAGCAAACACTCAGCGTCAAGACGTCTACACGTTGCCAACAACACACCATACCGTGCAAAGATAAGGTGGCATCAGCGAGACGGCTTCATTGTGTTTTTCAATGCCACGCGTTATAATCAGTCATTACCCCGCAGATAACTCAGCACCAAACACTTCTTAAACAGGCAGTCCGACAAGGAGATGACAGCACACACGCCACTGGTGCCGACTGTTAGCCATGCCCTGTAACGTCAAGCCAAACACAAGACACGTCACGTGGATTCCAGCCCGGAAGGCAAGACGAATTGGCGGCACCAAGTTTAGGCGTCAGTGACTTCAGTGCTATCTGTTGTTCTAAGGAACCAGCATGATTATCACTGCTTATCACTCGCCTGCGTACTAATCATTGCGAACACGCTGCTGCCATCCAACACCAGCAAGGCTTCGCAGACAACGGTGGGCAAAGGCTTGAAGGCGCCACAGGTCCTCAGATCGGAGAGGCCGAGTTTCAATTCCATAGGGCTGGACGGCCCTTACTGTGGCCTTGTAAACATGGCCTTTCAGACCGAGAGAACCCCCTTCTGACACCACATACACCGCGGATTCCAAAAGGCAGTTCTAGCTTCTGCAGTGCGTGAATTGACTTCAGTCGTTACGCGCCCATCATTGCTGATGCAGCTGCTACGTAAGTGAATTGATCAACCATCTCGAGTTCCTCATCATCAGAGGTCAAGGAGCCATCAGGTAGCTGGCGGTCTTGTAACAACACTTTGCACATTGGAGATGCGAAATGCATACCGAATGATGGGACCACTCTAGAGAGGTCATTCAAGGTTGTTTGGGCCGTCCCAACATCGTTAAACAGCACGACATTTCCCGCATACTCAAGATCAACTAGCTTTTCTCCAGACAGCACATTAACGCCTGTATCGTGAGCCTTCGCAAATGAACACTCCACGACGCAGTCCACGACGAATATCCCACGGTTCTTTCTATGGTGCTCGTGGCAGGTGCACTACCGTATCGATTAGCTCAGTGGAATGCTGCACCTTACTATTTCGTCAATGGTGCTTTATGGATCACTCGCATCCACTCATGATCACTCTTATTGTCAGTCATGTTACCGTCGGCCTCTCGTTGCCTTCTTTGAAGGCAATATGTTTACCACGAACGTAGCGCAGATTACGGGCTTCGGTGTGATCTTGTGCATCCATCGCGCATTCTGTCCGCCCTCGAGCAACTCTGGCGGGTTTACTGATTTAGACCTCACCAGGGGCACAAACATTTGGTCGGATGCTTGTCAATGCTCGGTGAGCAACAGCCACAAGACTTCGCCACACTATTTTTGATGATTTTCTCGTCATTTGTACCGATGTCCGTTAGCTGACACTGCATAGTCCAGGACGGAGCCTAATCAATGTCTATTCAATATGACGCCCCGCTTTCCTTATTCTGCGTTTCTAAAGTACGTGGTATTAATATCCCAGTTACCAAACGTGTATTTCATATCCCACCTTAGACATTTCCACGCATTAGTTACCGAACCGATGTATGCGGCCACGCATTTTCAGTTTGCTTTTCCTGAGGATCAGGTGGTGGAATAAGGGCAATATTCAGTTTTACTTCGGATACGGTCCCAGTGATCGGAATAGCAGAGGCTGACTTCCAAGTCAACCGAAGCTTCTAAGTACAATGTCGTACATAGGCGCTATGCGGAAAGTCCTAGCTCTTTGGGCTAACTGCTGTCCTCTGCGCAGTTCGTAATTGGCATGGCAGTGGAACATGAACCGGGCTATATCCTAATCAACTGTCAATCACGCAGGTCCGTGGCTGTCACCCGTGGCACTAGTTGTTGGAATCCGGAATTCATAGGAGCGGAACCTCGCAGGGAAGCCGCACCACTGACGAGACCTAGAATGTCGAAACACCGGTGTTGGTGCTTTTCCAGCCTTGCCAAAGCCTGCCGCCTAAGAGGGACCATGATGAATTATCTGAATTATTCAAACGTCCTCACTACTCACTAGTAATAGGGATTACGTGTCGCAATCCAAGGCACGGCGAGTGGTCTAAAACCCGACAATCAAACAATATACAATTCTTAAGCGGTATCAATTGAATACCATTTACCTCCGTTGCTGCAATGTGCACATCCCTCCACGCAATCAGTTTTCGCCATAAATAAGTCACGAAATCATATATATATATATATATATATATATATATATATATATATATATATATATATATATATATATATATATATATATATATATATATATATATATATATATATAGTGTTTTTTACACTGTACCGTGCAAGCGACATTTCGGCGCTCATGTGCTCTCGTTTTCCTTTTCGGTTTAGACAGGGTTCCTTTCAAATTGACTGTTTGTATGTGAGCTAACATCAGGTGGTGCGGCTCTAGGAGTCGGGCGGTCACTTCCGATATCTTTTTGGTGTATGGCAAAGCGATCCGTCCCGTTGTTGTTTGTTCAGGTATGGCATCCACGAGCCTACCGAGTTTGAACTTGTATTTGACGAGTATTCTGGCTCCGAGGAATTCCAACAAGGTTTGAAGAACTGTCAAACATGACCTTGGTGTTTTCGCTTGCACCTTGTAAACCATCGATCTTAGTAAAACCAAAGTTAAGCGTTAAGCATACTACGTGTTTGACAATTGTTATGCTGCACTATTGTCACACCATAAATCTTCGAACCAGATAATCCCAGATTGATTTTTGAGGATTCGTCACAGTTGGACTTAGCCAGACAGCCATCACAATCTAGCAAAGTCCTAGACGGCCGTTTCGTCCTGTTGTGACTCGTCAGTAGCGCGCACCCATCGGACCCTGTCGGGTTCGAACCCACGACCTTACTCTTAGAAGTCAGCGACTTATGCCAATGAGCCGTGGGTGACGGTACCGGACCTCCATGACTGATATATAACTTCGATGTAGTGCGGCTTCCAACTCTATTCATATTATGAACGTGCGAAGGACTGGGCTAGCCTCCAGAGCTATGACTACCTTTGCAATCCGCCATCAACCGAGGTGTCATGTAAGTTTCTAAGGCGATTGCTGATCATTAGTGAGCATTCGGGGAATTTATAGTGTCGTGGCTCTGGGGGCCAGCCTTATCCTCCACACGTTTGTAGCAGGGATAATAGTGAGCGATGAGTCGCGCTATATCGCAGTTAGATATCAGTCATGGCGGTCCGCCACCGTCATCCACGGCTCGGTGGCAAAAGTCGCTGACTCGTACGTACAAGGTCATGGGTTCGAATCCGGCAGGAGCTGGCGGGTGTGCGCTACCGATGAGTCGCAATATGAAGAAACAGCCGTTTAACGACTTCCTGCATTGGGGTGGCTATCTCGCTGCGTCTAACTACGACGATTCTTATGAAAAACATACCAAATCACCCTATTACTCACCAGGGTGACTTATCGAGCTTCTAGAAGGGTTGAAGAGGAGTCAACTGAGAGACGGGTATCTAACCTACTGGCATGGTATTACTATTTTATGGTAATCCTTTAAACCAGGTGAAACTGATGAGTGTTCTAGTTAAGTAGAATGGTTTGGACTTTTCCGTCTGATATTCTGTATACTTGTTGGCGTACATCCGAACTTCTGGTTATATATACTGCTTTGATCTTGCTCATGTCTTTGGCTTTTAGTTGTGGGGCACCTCAGGATTTTGATTACGTTAACGTAATCAGAATTCTGAAGTCATCATCATCATTATGCACGTTAGCTGCAGGTGGAAAATGCCTCAGCTATTGTGCCGCAATACAAAAGAAAACAAAAAAAAACGTGAAACAGAGGCACGCCGGCTGAGTAACTAGTAACGGATGGACATCGTTCTGGAGAACTAACAGCCGGCAGTCGCAAAATAATTATATTATGCCTGATAAAAGAGATCGTGGTTGTAGGGGGAGGCTAAGCGGGAGGGGGAGAGACAGAGAAACTCATAACACAAACTCCATTGAGATCGGCTCCTAGCCATATCAGTAAGTGTATCCAGCCAAACGTGTTCATCGTCTTTCGGACCCCAACCAGGTAGCCGAGACACTCCAACCGAGGGCAGCTTCGAAGTAAGGGCCTTCATTCTTCTTGACCATATCATCGCTCGGCCACCCCTCCTCTTCTTCCATCCGCACCCCCGGCACGCAAATAGCGCACGTCTCAGGAGTTGGTGGGCTGGCATGCGCAACACGTGGTGCTGTTAAATATCTATCAAAGTTTTCATGAAATCCGTTCCGGGATGTTCTGGCGTAGATATCAGTCTCCCATTTGTTCCGCGTGCTGGTGTATGCATCCAGCATGCTATCTGATTATGTGTTTGTTGTCAGCCTTTTAACTACCGCGAATTCCCCCTTATTTAGATATATAAGTGACACGTTTATGTTAGAAGTGTATATTTTTTGTGTAACGCCTTGTAGAACAGTCTGAGGTTCTGCGCTAGGCGTCGCGACCATACTGGGTCGAAGTTAAGTAATCACAGCGCTCAGAATAAGGCAGTCTGTAAGTGGCAGTTGAACTGAATTTCCTTACACTTCATACTAGTGTGCTCCTTCTTTCTCGGTTTTTGTATGACACTGAGCAGTATTCGAGTAACTGGTGGGCGAGCGATTTATAAGTTGAACTTTGTCAGACCTGATCTGTTGCCTAACATACGTGTTAAGGGGCTCAAAATAGCGTACTTAGGGAGGCCCGAGCTCTCGTATTGTACGGCAAAAGTTAAATGGTTTTTGATTGGGATCTTCAGAATTATGTCTTATGTTGCATTTATAGAACCCGGTGGTTTAAGTCCCGATGCTTCATTTTCTTGTAAAACCGTCTGGGTACACCCTAACGATATCCGTGCGGTTCGATTGCATAACGACTCGAAGTTGCGAAGGAATTACATCACCATTTGGGACACCGTGCTCTACTTTGGCCGCTTGTTACTAGTAAAGTGCGCATGTGTGAAATGCATCCTATCCGTGCTATGGCCTTTAAAGCACCAGTATCACTTTTTAGTTCTTTGCTCATCCATACTCATGGGCAAGAATGGGCGATCGCCACTCTTTATATTGAAGCTCAAGCCTCAGGTGACCCCTTAACGTCCACTCTCAGTTCCCGTGCGAGGTTGTTTATCTTGGCCATTCACCCACTTACTTACGAACCGTTGCTCTATATAGATGTGCCCTTTAGGAAAGCAGAAGCGCCCGTGGAGGGTTTCGGTGTGGCTCTCTCCCATCCCTGCAATCCACGACCGACGGTTTCGTCTTTGTTTAGACTCATCAGGTAGAGATAGCCGAGTTGGGAGTGGAACTCGGCGCATAGTGCTTGGCGGCTATGGCCGTGATCACTAGGCCATTGAGCTCCGCAAGCATTGTTTGACACAGCCGTTAGGAGTAGATTGCGTGTCGTAATCCAAGACACATGGCGGATGCTCCAAATCCTGAAAATCTACTTCTAACTGCTGTGTCAAACACTGCTCTCGGAACTCAATGACCTAGTAATCATAGCCATAACCGCCAAGCACCATGCGCCGAGTTCCACTCCCAGCTCGGCTACCTCTACCTGATGAGTCTATACATTGACGAAACCGTCGGCCTTGGAGTGCAGGGATGAGAGAGAGCCACACTGACACCCTCCACTTCGGTGACGGTCTCAGTGATCGTATTGGCAGAGGTTGACTTCAAAGTCAACCGAAGCCACGATTGAGATTGCCTGTCACAATGCAAGACATACGAAGGGTGCTCCAAAACCCGAAAATCAGAAGTGTCCCTCTTCTCATCCTTATTGCTAAGGTGGATTCAGTCTTTTTCACGCTGTGATCCGTCTTAGCTCAGTGTCTGACATCGCTGCGGTGTATCAGAGAAAAGCGATTGACACAATACCATGCGTTTGCTTATTTCCCATGCGCCAGATTTTCATCCTTCTCTGGTTTAAGCTGATGCCTTGTAATCTTCGTATCCACTTCTGCGTTTATAGTCAAGCCCCTACATCTCAGTCTTCGAACAAGTTGAGTGCCAACAAATCCTCCTCAAGCTCCGGAACATTCGATAGCGCCCATACCGTTTGTGATGACCAAATTACCGGTGATCCAATCACGTCCAGTCCCTTCGCGTTGACAGAAGCGGAACGACAACGCATTATCGAGGAGGAACGGGCACGCCTCGAATCTTTTGTGTCCAGTGCACGAAAGCAAGCTATTTCAAACACGGAAGCCGAAATGCGAACTACGGAGTCACAACTGCAGCGGCTATGCACTGACGCCGATTTTGTTGATCTACTTAACGCTTCTGATTCGGAATCGGTGGTACCAACATCCTCCTCGCTGTCCGTCTGGTCTACGACTGACGCTCAACCCTCATCTGCTGGCAACACTTCGAAGGCATGGTGTACCGACCAGCTGGTTCAACCAGCTACCGGTACCAAGGATTTGACATTGCTTGGTAAGTTGTTTTTCTCTGACGTACTTCTGAATGATTTCAGATCAGTCCGTGTAAAAAAGCGACTGTTTGATCTCCTCTCTCCGATGTTGGCGTACCTGTTTGTGTCGTGGCAGTTCTGTCAATAGGTTCAACTCGTTTTGTCCCTCCTCTTATTTCGGCGTTTCGTTAAGTCAGGTGAATGATGTCAGTTTTCACCACTTCACTTCTTTGTTCCATCTAACCATTGGTGTTCACCTCACACGTACAAGTAACCAAGACTTATCTCTATATCTTACCTTTATTCTATGCGGGTATTTAGTCATAACCTCATGGTTGTCCTTGGCACAGGAGTCAGTAAACATTTTTTGAAAGCGAGCCCGATGACGGCCAAGCCAACGAGCACGGGTCGCATAATCATTCTGTACAACACTTGCAAGCCAGAATCAAACTCTGGGAAAGTGATAAAGCTTAGTTACGTATACCATGCTAATCATGGGTTAGTGTCGTGCGACTCACAAAAGGCAATTAACACTAACATATTTCTTTACTAGAACGGTTATCAAGGAAGGTGACGTTAGTTAACTTATAGTTGCATCAGACTTAGTATGCACGTTTCCGAATCTCTCAAATTATGCTTCAAATTTTTAAGTGAGGTATGGGAAACTGGTGTTCGACTTGCAAAATATCACCAAAGTTTGATTTAAAAGATCACTGCATCTAATCAAAAGAATTACTATCAATTGTTCATCATACAGTCTCGTTGAAATGAATTGAAATCACACATTTCTCGTATTACTGAGAAACTGTATCCGTAGTGGGACAGATCGTGTTTACCTGTTCAACATGCCCACTCATGCAGGTCTGTCAAATGGTTATGGTTTATGCCGGGGTACAATAGGGACATTTTTGTAAATATCTTCCTTGAAGGCTTCCACTGTCGTTTCATACCAGTTCACTGGCATCCTCAGTTGTTTGCTTCCGGTGCTGATCGGCGAAACCGGTGATGACAGTAGGTTCATGAAAGGAGACGAAACATGAATAGATGCGAAACAGTTGAGGCCGTCAGCCCAGATCAGACGAGTACTAGCTATCGTGTATGAAGACTAGCATTATAGACTAAAATCGTGTAAGATAATTTATGTGTGTGTGGCAAAAGCCTTATACTTGGAGCAATTGTACTCGGCTGCCAAAGGAAGCAAAAATGATTTGTACATCTATGTGCTTTCTTCAGTCTCAGCTGCGTTAGCATGTAGGGTGAAATACCGAAACGTTCCTTTAAACTCGATACCAGATTAACCAGGTCGACCCTTCACTTGCAGGTAAGGACTTAGGGTTCAATATGTAGACCACTTACTTCATTTTTCAAAAAGCCTCCTTACGAACAGACTTTGTTCCAGAAACTGATGTCATACTAGCAGCAAGTTTCTTCAGCTTCAGACAATCCACATCAGGCATACAACGTTGAAATCCAACGACTTTTCTGTGTTTCCCTCTCAACAAGTCAGATATTAGTAAATCAATATGCTTCAGCTGTAGTCGACACCTCGTCAAGGCTGCAATCCAGCAGACTCTAGAGCATATGAATGTCGCTCATAATTTTCTAGATCTGGAAAAATCTTCCAGTAATGATTCCTCACGTCACAAATATTTTTCTTTGGAAAATCAAATTTGCTCTCTTTGGCGATTGAGAGAATAGTCTCCTCCTTCCAGTTAGGCTTCAAACAATGACAACAATTTATGGAAGGCTTTGATGTTACTGTAAGGATCACAGAGAAAGTTATCTTTGCCCTCAAGTCTCCAGTTCAGTTCCTTCTTATGGCACGTGATGTCGACCGAAAACGACAATTTTTCCAGCCAGTTAGGATATGACAGGTACGAGTCAGCGAGGAAAACCTTCTTTATCGGCGATTGTAAAAACAAGCCAGGAGTTAACTGCAGCTGAGCCAACTCACAAATTTCGGAAGTAATTTCTTCAAGGAAAACCCGGAACTAACAGTGAATAAATGCATGCCCCGAGTAAAGTTGACAGCAGCAATGATTGCTTTCAATAGATACGTAGTGTCTCTCACAGAATGCTCGCTTATGCACGACGCGGTATATGAACATAACATCCAAAACTTGCTATTCTTCCAGCTAAATCCTGATCTGCTCCACCAAACTCTCCTTTAATCCAGTCATATTTTATCCTACATCAGTAGTAATATCTCGTGGCTGCAAATTATAGTCTTGCAAAATGTTTTGCGCTTCCACGAGAATGTATTCTCCGGTTGTTCTATGCATGCTGCAAACGGATACCAACTCTCTCGTTAGCTAGAAGCCAACATTTACACCACAAACGAACACGAGAAGTTGTGACGTACTCAAGAAATCAGTACAGTCATCCAGAACCAGTGCATACCGTAACAAGTTACCATTTTCTCGCACATTTGTAGCAGTGTCCGCAAAATCCACAAAGTCCAATTTGGACAACGAAACGAATCATGAGTGAACTCAGGAACCGCGCGCGTGCTCATCGTTCTGGTCGCGCTGAATGCGAGATTTGGATGGGTTTCAAGCGAAGTTTGTGTCAGTCGGATTACAAACAATGCAGCAATGGCCGTAAGGGTTATAACAATTTTTCCAACGTCTGTCTTATACAGCAACTGATTAAGGTGAATGCGGGTTTATTAGAGAGCCCTCAGAGTGGTCTTGCAGTTGAGACTGAGAGTTGCCTTGTCGATTTCGGAAGTGGTGCATTTGTGCGTTTGACTTTCTGAACGAAAACACCCAATGTGTAAATTGTAGCGGGATACTAAAAATAGCTTGTAACTCCAAATGATTAAAAGTGCTGGTAGGCACTCGTTAACTTCAATGCATATGAGCACTCAACTGTGCGATGAAACTTTTCGACTCAAATCGACAAATTGTCACGGTATACATGGTGCGACCGCGCGCCAGATGTTTCAAACCAGGTGAATGTTACGTGTTATTCGCTCGCAACACCGCTCTTCACGACCGGTTTCCTTTTTGTTTATACTCATCAGGTGAAGATAGCAGGACTATAACTCAAACACAAGCAGCGACCCAATTGACTTTGGTTCACTTCACAGCCAATCGCAATCCAGGTTGAAGCTGTGCTTTGCAATTTTTCACGTAGCGAGTGCTTCAACATGATAGTCAGCGAGTCACAAACCGTTGTGACAGGCGTTAACCTCGGTTTGATGGTTTATAAACAAACGATCCGCATGGTAGTTCTCCACGTCCCAAGGTTGGAGTCACAGTCTTAATATTTCTACTTATCGGGTGCAAACAAGCACGAGACGTGTCGGGAACTGCCGCGTTACCAGCTGGCCGCATCGAAGATTTTGTAACCTTTGAAACCTCCATGAATATAACAATTTTCTAATGAAAACTAGTGCTTCACCGGTCCACGTGGCGTTCGTTTCAAGCGTTTTTTCTACACTCATTTGACACTTAGTTGGACAAGAAGCCGATCAAACTCTGACCATGTTCGAATAGTCCACTTTGGTAGCACCCATATAGTTTGAATTGAATCCACATATTGGTGCGAAATTTCCCCTGGACTACCGGGGTTCCGTGCCCCCAACGTCTGGAAGTTTCAGTATTCTGTAAATGATCGATGCCATATCTGCTCCCTGGTGCTATCGTTAGATCCACACTCCCCTTCGGAATATCCTGCAGTTGAAAACATGTTCTGCTCTCTTCGCTTCCTCTCCACCGTAACCACATTTGTCTCACATTCTCTTTGCTCACATCTCGAAATCTGCTCGGAACTAATCGAGAACTCATGTTTTCAAAAGGGCTTAAAAACAAAGTGATTACCTTTCTACTGACGTCTCAGTCGTCTCGATTACCTTCCCAGTTTGTCTTAAATGCCACACCAATCGTCTACTGGTTCACTGGGCCTGACGAAGCTCTTGTATTAAAAACGGGACTTAGTCACCAAATATACCAACCGGCTGTCTTCAACCCTTCACTTTGTCCTTTGAACTTTTATCGGAGTTCAAAGCATCGGGAGACTGTAGCCTACTGATGATGTTAATTGTGTCATTTTTGGCTGTAGGAACCAAGCACCCCTCTCTATGACGTGTTATGTGCAACGTCATATAGTATTTTGTTTAGAGACATTATAACTGATGAGTTTTCATAACCTATTACCCCATGCCGATGAGAATCATTACCCATTGCATCCCTTTCCTATATATTTTTCATCCCTCTGACTTTTGGTCCAATTCCAGATCCCTTCGCTATCGTTCAGGATAAAACCACTCCTCCAGCGTCCACCACTGCTCATCCACCAATTGCTTCGGCTTCATCGAGTAACCCTTTCGTGCAGAACGTGCCTTTTGTCAACCAGCCTCTTGTTTCAAATGGTTTGTTGCCTACTTTTAACATGTGGAACTGTCGCCCTTCGCAATATGCGCCATTCGGCCTGCCTACCCACAGTGGTGAGCTCCATCGTCCTTTCGCTACAATGTCACTTTGATCGTTATCAGTAGACTCTGCATGCATTGAAGTACTTTTCCTTTTCTGTCACTTAGTTTGCTATCCGGGTATCCTGTGCTTTGCGCTGTTTATCGTCTGTTTGTACAAATCTCCATTCAGTCACCGAAATTCGACTTCGGAGACGTCTTTTCAAACTCCTCTTTCATTCCCGCTTTGAGTTAGTCAACTACAATTTTCATGACATCCAGTTGTGAAGCCACTCCATCTTTGGTGTAGTTCGCTGCCGTCTGATTTATCATTTTCTACAACATTGCTTCTTTTTCTTCGCGACATCTTTCCGGTCAGTGTGTTCCACCAGATGTTTGATGGAAAGATGGCCTCATTCGCACCTAATGAAGTGCATATGTCGTTGCGTAACCTTTTATCGATAGCGCTTCGGTTCATCTATCAATTCCACTGTAAACTAATTAAAAACCCAATCTCAGCAACTCTGTCGCCATCATCAATTTCAGCGCACTTGTGTCTCCGACTGATGCGTCATCGCGCTACAGCCATAACTGTCCTACTACTGGGGAATAAGGATCTGCTGGGAGAGCGGGACCTACTGTAGAGCTAAGCATGTTCGCTAAGCATGTATAAAGAATCAAGGCGCCTACACTTTGGCAACAGCGTACCGTCGCAAACAGTGAACATAAGGCGACATCACTGAGGCCATCTTGCGGCCCCCATTTCCCTTTACCCTAAGCAATGCTAACCCACACACGACTCATTATCACACATACTTTAAACATACAAATTGGATAACAAACAGAAAAAAGCTTGCAACTGGTGTTAGTTTTGTACCATATCCTACAAGGCAGGTCTGTCAACTTAGTGGCCCACATGCCGCATGTGGCCCATCACAAGCACGCCTATGGTTCGCACCAGGGATGCATTGTATATATGCTTGTGGCAGCGCATGGTAACTAAACTGCTTCCAATTTCATTTACTAGCGAAGACCGGTGACGCAGTAGATGTAGTACATATGTTGCACTGTCGGTGCTGTTAACCTCTACATGTGCTTGTGTGTCTGTTTATTCCCGTTTTGACAGCGTTTGTTAGTTCATCTCTCCGGTCTGGCTATGCTTGGTGCGAGTGTTGGTATGGTGCTTAACTGTCGAAATCCGCCACTTCAATTACTGGTTTCAGGAGACTGTTACTCGTTACTGAGGGAGACCTGTGCGCAGGTTTCGTGAGAGTGGCAGACTCAACGAGTGGTTCCGTCCAATGGGGAACGGACTGTGGCCAGGCCACCGCCCTTTTTGCGTCTGCTATACATGTTTTACCCTATTTTTATGAATAACTTGCATGTTGAAGCAGTGTGTGACAACTCCGGATCAATCGTGACTCCCATTCACATATCTCCCAGTCCCATTCCTTCGAATTTACTATGTATATGGGTGCGTGCATGGAGCTATAGGTGGTGCAGCTCAAGCCATCCATGGTCCCTCTCTATGCGCAGGCGTCCTGTGGCTATTCGCAGTCTCCGTGACAAGCATATTTTGAAATGGGTATTGTGAACCGTATGTAAAGGCTTCACTCAGTTCTCTTTTGCCACCCTCATGAAAGCGAATGTGATACATGTGGCCCTCGGGAGATCCTCACTTTGACATGCATGCTGAAAGGTTTTGAGCCAGGTACCTTGTGGGTCGCTTAGACCCAAAATGGTAAGGTCAGACGAATGAGCAGTGCCTGATTTGGTGGTGAGTTACTTCATTACCTCCTATCAGATCGGCGATGGATCAGCGTCATCCAGGCTGGTAGTCACTTGCCTATTTTTCACTACTTGCCCAAATATTGCTCATTTGGGCTTTCCGTCATCTTTAATCAGGATAACAAGTGAGGTCTTTCTTCCGCAAACAGTGTACAAGCATACCTAGCGCATGCCCAAGTCAGCGCGAGGTATTCATCACTAGTTATGGCACTAGGAAACTAGCCTGCTTGTCTCCGCCTGCGTACATCATCGTTGCAGACACCTTGATGCTTTCCGACATCAGTAATACTTCGCAAATAGCGATGGTCACAAACTAGAAGGCGCTTCCGTTCTTCCGACAGACTTGGCCGTGGCTCACAACCTTAGAGCAGGATGGCACTCACTTTGGCCTTGTACACACAACCTTTTGCACCGCAAGAAACCTCCTGACATCATAGATGTCGCCGGTTTAAATAAGCAGTCCTAGCTTTTGCAGTACATGAGCTAACTTCGGCAGCCACACGTCCATCGCTACTAATGCAACTGCCAAGATGGGTTAACCACTCAACTGCTTCTAGTTCCTTGTCATCAGGAATCAAAGGGTTATCAGTTGCCTGATGTTCGTTCGAAGCTCATACCAAATGATGGAATAACTTCAAACAGTCTATCCAGGGTTGACTGAGTCACCTCGCTACTGTCCAAACAGAAAAACGATGTCATCAAAACCATTTTCCACAAAGCAGCACCTTAACCTATGATTGTCTTATATCTCCTTTCCTCTTTAACTTAGCCCTCAGCTAACTTGCTGTAGGTAATCTACTCGAATGGATACCAGTGAGCTGCCTCATGTGTGTAGTTCAATTCCGAACCTCTATTACGGTTCATAAACTCTGTCAGAAGATAAGGTGCCTTTCCGTAACCTCGGTTTGTGCCCCTACTGATGACAATTCGGAAGGCATCAAATACTATTTCTCCCATAACCTTTCATTTCTTCTCCGCATGACGAAAAATGATGACATCGTGGTTGTTACTGGGCACATGAATGCCCAAGTGGGTCTACTTTCGGATCCTGAACAACAAAACGGAGCCACTTCGGGTTCGATACACGCTGAACAGACAATACTGATCGATCACTGCAACTATATGCCGACCACAAACTTTATTTTATTTGTTTCTTCTGCTCATTAGTAATCAAAATCTTTATATTAGCAGCACTGCTTTCCAACACAAACGTTCATACCATGTTACCTGGTGTCCAGCGACTTCTTCAATGACCTGGTCACAAGTTGACCATATTGACACCAGCTATAGATGGTGCACACCAGTCCAGGACTGTCGGTCAATTTGGAGCACTACGTTGTTTCCGACCATGCTCTAGTGCGCGCACGCTTGGCGCTCACTCTTCCCACTTCAAAGAAGCGCGTAACTTTTAAGATTCTTAATTCTAACTTGAACTCTCAACTCAACAATACCATGATTAACTGATCCACTAATTGTCATTGGTAGATGAAGTATCGATCAGTTTGCTCGACGCATGGAAACAGTTTCCTATGGGTACTGAGTTTCAGCGTGTCCTCAACACCCTGAAACGCCATGAAATCTTTGAATTGGCCGAGTACGTTGGTGGTTTGCAAGGGTCCTTGCGAATCCGAGTGCTATTCTAGCTCATTCTGAGTCCGAGTCCGGTAAATCTCTTGGTTAGTGAGACATAGCTGAGAAATATCAGCAGTTGGTCCATTCTCACGTATCAGCTATCACGTTGGGCGGAACATTTTGAAGAGCAAAGGAGCATTTCAGTGTGACTCTCCCATCCCTGCACTTGACAACCACGGATTCGTCCTGCTTTGGACTCATCAGGTAGAGATAGCCGAGCTGGGAGTGGAACTCGGCGCATAGCGCTTGGCGGTTATCGCCATGATCACTAGACCATTCAGCTCCAAAACCCGAACTTAATTTTGTAGAGCAGTTCAGCAGGCCTGCTGCGATAGTCACTTGCTGAATCACTGAGTCGACGTGGGAATTTGATTTCCCGTATCCCACTTTGGAAGTGATTCGACATGAGCTTGCTGTGTTGAAATGAAAAAGGTTCCTATACCCGACGACCTTCCTCCATCGTTGTTGCTCTATTCAAAACTATTGGGGACACTGAAGAGTTGCCTTCATACTGGCGACTGTCAACTGTCGTGCCCATCTTCATAAGTGGTCAACGTATTTTGTGCCCTATTTGCACTGCACTCAAACTCCTCTCGGGTATCATTCTTCGACAAATTACTGATCCTTGTGAGAGCCGAACCGTTGAAAGCCAGACTGGCTTCCGCTATGGTCGTGACTGCATCGACCATATATTTTACTCTTCTCCAACATGCTTGCGAGTGCAGCTTGTTGACCTACTTGTTTTAGAATGCGATTGTTGAACGGGACAGCGTGGCCTTATACGGGACTGTTGCCGATAGGCGTCCATTGGGCGGTGCGGGAAGATAGGTGCAGATGGTTCGACTCCGGTGGCATTACGGCTGCTGTCAACCAGGCTGGGAGCTATAGAAAGAAGCTTTTTAATCCGCGTTTTGAGGGGAGTAAGAGACACAACTGGTGCGGTTAGCTGCGGAGTAATGGCTGCTTATGAGGCGGGCAGTGGAAGCCGCAAAGAAACTGTCTCGCCGACTCCGCCTTACCTTTGCATGCTAGCCAGCTGTTTGTTGCGATATGCTGTTGCCAAGGTGTAGTCGCCTGGACTCTGAATGTTTCCTTAGGTTATTAAGGTTTTCCGGTAAGTCGCCCTTCTCTCTGTTATCATTCTTCGTACCCTAGGTAGTTGTGGTTGTATGACAGCAAAGCATCAATTTAAATAGTTGCTGCTGCTGATGATGATGATGGTGGTGGTGGTGATGATGATGATGATGACTTTGCCAGCTATTGGAGCAGAGGCACATGTACAGACGATTGACTTCATGGTTTTGCTTAACTTGAAATCTTTTTTCGGGCCCACTTGTAACTGCTTATCCGTTAATGGGCTGCCTAGAAAGCTCCTTTCCATTTTGATGTCTTTATCGTGACTCCCTAGGTTAGGTAAGTGTTTAGGAGAAACTATCTCCTGAGTTCTCCATAACTAGTAGTGTTCGCCAGGGTTGTCTTATACCTCCTTTTCTCTTTAACTTTTTGACCGAAATAATCATAAATGGCTGCGTTTTTCAGACTTTTCCTGGGTGGAAATTCTGCTTTAATTTGGCAGACCACATAGCTCTCCTTGGGTCTGACACACTGACTATGCAAGCACTACTGAATTGACTAATGTGTAGCGCTGCATGCTTCAGCATGTCCTTTGCACCTTCAATGTGCAACGTATTATTGCACGACTGAGCCATCATCGAACAGTCACTGGAAGTGGTGAATCGGTTAACTTACGTTGTATCACCCCTAGTGATCACATCACAGAGAAGGTTGCTTCGCGTATCCGCGATGCGCATGAGTCATATTAGACGTTCAGGCATCTATGTAGATGGCGGTAGGGTATAACTGCGATGAAGCCGGTGTTACACCATATATCGAAGACCTGGCCAGTTCGCTGTGAAGCCGTTAAACGCTTGGCCATGTTTGATCACTGATGCTTGCAGAGCAATGCTCACATTTGTTGGAACACCGGTTGAGCATTGCTGAGGTCCACCAGTTGATCTTTGGTAAGAAGCCGTCTAGTGCCTCACCCGAATGCTAACTCTCAACCGCCTACATTAGCTAGCTTATGGCCTCTGTACACCTGTTGACTGGCTGATTCGACGTGCGTTACACGCCGTCGCTGCACCGAGTTGCACGAAACCGCGAAGTGGCCGGCGAATGAAGCGACATAGTGGTATGACGAGATTGGCTGAGAGACTTGATCAGGTTGGTCCACATCAATGGTTGGAGACTCCATCAGACATGGCACAGTCTCGCAGTCAGTGGTGTTTTTGCATTCACTTTTTTGCACCTTAACCTTTGTTTTATACCCCGATTTGCTTTGCGCGCTTCTTTCTTGATTTCCTTTTCTTTGCATTTCATTTGCACGCAATGTCATTTTCTTACTGTGGTTATTTATTGTTATTCTGGTGACATGAGTCGTGGAAACTAGATCCACCTCACTTCGGCGCTTGATTCATAATTGTTCATCTGAATTGAACCTCAACTTCCGTATCCTGAAATTCCGCGAGTGAGCACTCCATGATGAAATCCGCGATGTAATTGGACACAAATGGGGAAATGAGTCGGTCCTGACGAGCTCCACTTGTTATCGGAAAAACGTCCGACACTTAGCCTTAGACTCTGATGCGACCTGTAATGTTTGAGTGCGGGGCATGAAGTATGTTCGCGTACTTGATGAGGACAGTTCTGAGCAAGTATGTCGAAGAGGATGTAGCGATCGATTGAGTGAAACTCAGCCTCAAAATCGAGAGACACAGCTACTGCCGGTCTGCATCACATGTGATGGTGTGCTAGCGCCTACATCAGAGTGAATATATGGCATTTACTGCTTCTCCCAGACGTCTCATTACAGCCCCTTACTTCTTAGTTCTCTGGTACGCTCTCTCATATGTGTGCACCCAGGTCCGTCCCAACTTGAATTTACTGTTTTCACCGTTTAATAGTGACACTTGTTGACTGCTCCTGCAATTCTCACCCATTGTTTTTCACGCACTCTTGGTTTTCTTCATTCCTCATCCTCAGCCACAAGCTCTTCGAACCCTACTTCTGAAGCTATTCAAGCTTCTGATTTCCAGACCAATCCCCTGGATGCCAGACTCGCACAACTAGCTGGTAATCTTTCCATCGGTTCGGATATAAAAGCTCCTAAAGATGTCTACCGGGCCCCCGATGGCACCATGACCGCAGTCAATTGGACTGGATTTGGAGCTCCATCTAGTCAGACTGGGCCAATACGTAACTCAGCTTCACTAAATCAACTCACTGGACCCACTGTCCCTCCTGCTGCGAGATCCACCAATCCATGGGTTAGTGCTTCTTTGGCCATACTTTTCTTATTCAAACGCATGCATCTGTACCTTAAGGAATATCCCGTAAGCGTGAATCATTTATACATCAGGAAGAGAAGTGGTCCCAGAACGCTGCCTTGAATGCTGCCACTTGTCACAGGGGTGCGACCTGATGTGTGATTACCTATCTTGACTGCTTGGGTTCTGTCGGTAGGGTGTGAGGAGAACCAAGAAAGTAGAGAGTCAGCAATGCCATATCCCTGTAGAGTGATCAAAAACTTATCATGGGGCACGATGTGTGAAACTTCGATACTGTCACATCCGTTCTCCCGCTAGGCCACACGTAGAACCTTAGAAAGCCCAGTATTTGTCGTTTGGCCCGCTGTGATTACCCCATCGACAACATTTAGCTCCTTCCATCCTTCTTCCCATCTCACCGATTTCCCTCAGGCTTACAACGGATTACCCACTTTCACAACACCCTTTGTTGCTCCAACCGGTCCTTGGAATTCTGCTATTGGTCTCACCGCAGGTTTCACTCCTCAAACTTCAGCTTCACTATCAAGTGCCACGTTCCTTTCAGCCTCTGCCGGATGTGCAACGCGTCCGACCAATCCATTTTTGTGATCTGTTTGCTACTTCCTTGGAGCTGTATGTCTCGTTGAGCAAATAATCGGCCTCCAACACCACCACCTCCGCTGCCACTATCGCTCACCTATAATCTAAGAAATGAAACTTTGACTTATCGTTTATCTTTTCCGTTGCCCTCTGGCATTTTTGGGCTGTCACAGATTGAGTTGACCAGTTTCCGTTATGTTATTATATTTATCCATTCCCCTCGGTATGTTCGTTTCTGAGCGTGTTTTTCTCTTAAGGTCAGATCGCTCCGTCGCCACCAACTTACCACTGTCTTCGCTTCATTTGTTGTCCTTCTCCGGTTCCGTTGGCTCTGTATTGTCCTCTTCTACTCTCAGCTCACTTCCTCGCCCCTGTCCACCATGCCAGGTCAGTAGCACCCGCGAATTGATGCGTACCTTCCTTATGCACTTGACAAAACGTTACACTCCATTTGTTCCGCCGGTCTTTTCGTCTACTCACTGCGTCCATGCTCTTCCAAATGTGCTCGCCCCCCCCCATCTCGATTGTCTCTCATTTCACCACTCTACCTTGCACAGATTCTGAAAGAGTTGGTTTCGTCTATTGGCATCTTCTTAATTCGGTCCAATTTTAGATTGATTTAATCAATGAATCTCATTGTTGGTAATTTCACGGGACGTTTCCCGTTATGCGAGTATCAATAGGCCCATTGCTACTCGGAAAGTTGCTTATCTTCCAATAACGGTAGTTGCCTCAATGTTGCGCTCATTTGACACGATGAAGCCATTCTGTATATTCCCCCCTATTATCCAAGATCCGTTCAGCATAGCGCCAATCACATCTTCACCCCGGTGACTCTTCACTTATGATCATGGTATACTGGCCTTTCACCCACACATGCGCCACGACATCATTCAGTTTTAACCCGCACTTCTATCCTGTTTATCGGCTAAAGTCAACGCTGAGTTTAATAAGCATACGTCATATCTTCAGGCATATCTGTAGCATTATTCCAACTACCTTTTATGTGCGTGCTATCTCACCTTATTTTTTTACCCACTTCCTTCGCCCCATCGCAGTAATAGGGGCTAATTGTGCTTGGTTGGATTTTACCTAGTTGCTCTTGATGTCATTACTGATTGCTGCATTACGATTCTTATGCCTCTTACCTCAGCTCAGACGCACGTGAAACATTGCTCGCGGAGCATATTCGACGACATTCGGAGACTGACATCGGATACTACACTGTCTGTGTGTGTTCTCGGATTGTGTATGATTTCTAAGGTGACTTACAGGTTATCGACTTTCATTGTCGACTAGTGGGGATCTCGGTGACAACTATACGGAAACAAGCGTTATTAAGCACGTTGGTTTAGGCCTCACAATGTGTTTGAAAAGCACATATCCTCCGTAGGATTTCCTCTGTCGGTATATCCAGTGTGATTCCCCGGTATTTCGGCCTCCGGCGTGTTACAGATATTGACTTATGGATTAATCCACTCGGTGATCTAATAGTTTCCTTTGCAGCTGTTTTCGTCGGAACGCTCCAGTAGTGGGTGCAGGTTTGTGTCCACCATGTTCGTTTCGTCCATCTGTAATGCACTTGTTCCTCTTCTGTCAACATGGCTGTTGTCTCCTAATGATTCCACTTGAGTAGGGACACGTGAACTTGTGCGGCTGTATCCCCTTTGTCACCGCATCTGATCGTCTATTCGAATATCACCATCAAAAGTGATACTATTTTTTCCATGCAACAGTCGGATCATTCAGAAGACGGGATTCTGGGATCGTTGCCTTGCTACTGGTTGTCCGATCATACACCACCAACATCAGCAGCAATGTTGCACTGGCATCTTATACTGATACTTCCCATTGAGGATTCAGAAGAGAGGAAGGGGCGGCAAAACATTCAGGACCATGAGACTTACGCCTTTCCAACAACAGGGTCATCAACAGCTTGCTAGGTTCCTAAGACAGTATCGGCGAGACAGTCTCCTTGCAGCTTTCGCCTCCTCACCTCGTGACCAAATTACTCCATAAATACAACGTCATGCAACCCTTAAGTAGGCTTTCTGCTTAAAAGATGACATTGAATGCTCCTTTAGTGCCAGTTGCATATCGCACCACGTGAGGTCCGAAATCAACCGCAGAATGGGTCGCTTGGACACCAATCAAAAGGTGAAGCGGTCTAGCGCAATCGACACTCGAACCCTATATTCGCACGGTAACCCAACTGTTTGGGAGAAGTAAAAAGGCAAATAAACTGGTTGAGTTATATGTTTATTGCCGAACCGTGCAATTTCGTTATTGAAAGCAAAAGGAATATTCCAGGAGAGCCGAAGAAAGTGTTCGGGTCGTGTTCTGAATATGTGCATATAAACAAAGGTAATCAACATGCGACAAGCCTGGGTACCAAATGAAACTATAACTTCGTGCTATTTTACAAATCACACAGCAAACGCACGTGGAACTATCCAGATCGCTACACCTCCGTTCTCCTGGAGTGGAACCGTGGGTGACCCCACTGCCTATCTGAAGACTATCCATCGACGTCCAGCCTTCTGCGAGACTAGGCGGTGAGAACTGCTGTCATTGCATATCCACAGCTCTCCTGGTATCGATAATATTCGACCGAATGCTTTACAGACAGCAGAGAGTGATCTGGCGGAACCTCTGGCTATATTTTATCAGCGCTGTATGAGGGAGAACCATATTCGAACAATATGGAAGCATGGGGTCATCACTCCTATTCATAAGGGAGGAAGTGGCACTGACCCAACCAAGTACGGTCCGAAAACGCTTCTCCCTCTGTTTTCCAACCTTATGAAGTCTAACATCCCTGTTGCACTCATATACTATCTAGAAAACCACAACATGATAGCAGCAGAGCAACACGGCTTCCGACATAAACGCCCATGCGGTACGAACCTGCTAATTGCACGCAATAACTGGACTAAAGCAGTTCATGATGTAGCACAGGAGTCCATGTCATTTACCTGGACTTCGCAAGAGCATTCGGTTGCTTAGATCAGCCATTCTCAACGGGGACCATATGGCCCCTTGGGTGCCACAACGAATTGCCGGGGGCTCTGTGAAGTGAAAATTTCTTAGGGGGGCCATAGAGAACCACGATCTGAAAGGTGAGTTGTGATAACCCGAATCGGAAAATTCATTTAAAAATATTTTCTGTTTCTCACCGCGCACTAATTTGCCTTGGTAGCTACCGGTCAGTGAAGTAAATTACGCGTGCGCAAGTGGCGTTTACGAAAGTATGAAAGCCAGATCAAGCAGACTTTCTGTTGCAGAGCTGGCATAGCTCCGCCAAACTTGCACAGATTTCGCCGGGCTCACCTCAAACATACGGTCACCTATGACAACTTACACTGCGCAACCAACAACCGATTCATCCTCAGGACTTTGATGTATATCCACAGTGGACAGTTTGAGTTTCTCTCGGGACACGGATGCATCTACGGTGCAAACTGCAGTGAACCTAGCGAACTCTAGTCAGAATACTGCGGCAGTTCCCTCACAGAACCACACTGACACTGAGTTTTCCTCTGGACATTACCACTGTATGACAACTCATGTGTCGGTCAGTCTCTCTCTCGGGTCTCAGTGCGGTAGCGCTAGGTTACGCGCTTTCGTCTCCAGCCTCATATCGCGTTTTCCTTTGGCGGCTGGGTCACGTTAGCTCGCAAGCTTCCGAATTCGAATGGCTATTCTGCGTGCGTGGGGTACTATATCTGAAGAAGGTTCGTTTATTTTGACTAATGGTCGTTTTGACTAACAGTCATAACGCTCTCTTAATATTCAGTTCAGCTGAACTTTTCAAAGTGGCGAGCAGTTTTGTCAACTTTCATACGCGTTGACATCCGGTTTCTTTGGTGAGTATATCTAACATAATGTGTACTTAAGGATGATTCTCCATGATTCTCCCATCATAATCAAGTGCCTTTGCAATACGCATTT